GAATTACTGGTTCCAGCCTGTATTAGTTAGCCCAGAAGAAGAATTTGGGTTTATTTTCTGGCTTCACCACCACTACAGAAATTGTTTCTTGTTTGCCAAAGGAATGGGCAAACATCTTTTCATCTCACTAAAAATCAGGTAGAAAGCTCAGTCTTCAGCTAGACTGGGACTTTCTATGGGTTAGATGCTTTGAAGAAAAGCCTCCCTCGTGGTTTGACTGGTTTTGCAGCCATGAGTGGCTGACAGCCCCTGGTGCCAAGATATGCAGCCTTGCAAGGCCTTGACAATCTAGATGTCTACAGTTCTTGTTCTGCTGATTCTGGGCCATGGACTTCAAAATCACGTAAGGGACTTTGCAGTTTGCTTTGAAATTTAAGAGAGGAGCCTTTAGTGCAACTGCAGATCTCAGAAGGGCTTGTTTCAGGAGGGAATAGTCCAATGGCTTTTTGCTGTCAGTGAAATAAGTCATATAGACTGGCTATTTTTCTTCTGTTGCACTGATCTTTTAATTTAATACAAATACATTGCTGGAGAACCGAACTAAACTGGTGTAGGTTTTAATAAGATCATAACAAAAACCATTGAAATCTTTGACTCTTATGCAATTTAAATTCAATTTACAGTCACTGTTTATTTTCACATGCTTGGTTGTTGTTTTAAGAAGGGGTTTTTTTGCACTGCTTGCGTAACTGACATCTATTGCAGTATCAGATCGGTGCTCATAATGTGCTCTGGAATTTGTTGTTTTGGACTATTACCATTTACAAAGTGTATCCAGTTGAAAGGACAGCCTCAGAAGCGGAGAAGCACCTCCACAGGGAGCTAGTCCTGCTGTTTGGTGTGTACCGAACTAGAGAATATGACCTGAAAATGTACCGACTCTGTATACACGGGAGGATATCTGATACCTGCCACAGGCTGTCACCATTCCTACTGCAGGCCTGAGGCTTTGGTCTTACAAATTCCTGGGTCATGTTGCCCCATCAGAGTTATGGCATTAAAATAGCGTTCTTTTGTCATGATATGCCACGTGTGTACATCTCCTTTGCACACTTGCAAAGGCACTTCTGTATCGCTGAAAGGATGAATACTTCTATAGCTTGTGAAGTACTGCAGCTAGTAAATGGGACCAGAACAAGCATTTTGGTTTTCTATACAACGAAAAGCTTGAGCTTGATTGTATTAAAAATGTAGAAGTCCTGCTGAATGTTTGGCTTCCATCCCAGCTGGTGGAGAGCGCAAAGAAGTGCTTCAGCTGCTTCAGTGTCAACTCTTGAAATTCATTTTCTCTCTCCCAGCTTGATCAGCCACTGAAGGTCATCTTATTTCAGGCGTTCCTAAAGCGTCCTGCGTACGCACCGAGTACATACGCATGGGGTTTTCATTCACTGGGGAAATGATTTGTGGCTATTTATAAAGTAGGTTTGTAATTTATTATATGAGTTTTGTTGCCTAGATTGAAAAAGTATCTGACAGTGAAATGGAACCAGCAGTTCCATTTTAATTCCACAGGGTAATAATTTTCTGCTGTTATAAAGCCTTACTCCAGTTATTATACGTATTAGTCGGTGAGGTTTTTACAGCACCACAACGACAAACTTGCCAAGCAATAAATTCCATTGAAAGGTTTCTTTGTGTCTTTAGGAAAAGCTTACATGAGATACTTCCCTACTTACATGTAATAAAAGGACATAATGAAGTACTCAAGCACACATTAACTGGTGCTATTGTGTATTTTAATGCTTTTATTATGGATAACTTTCCAAACTGTACAAACTCAAAGGAGAGCTTTTGCATTTCTCTCAGTCCAGCCTTTTAATTTACAGAAAACCTGATTCACACAGATTCTGGAATGAAATCATCATTCCAGCTGCTCTGCTTTAAGTTTCCCAGACCTTTGTGAATCATTGTGTGGTTTTGAACAGCCTGCTTGTTGTGACAGAAATATTTTTATAATTGATCAAGTATGGTTAGGTTCGGTTGGTTTGTATTTTTAACTTAAAAAAAACACGGCATTTTTAGAAGGATTTCTTTAATTTTTAGGAAATGAGATTAATCTGGTTTTTAAGACACGATTTCCTTTTAATGTCTCCAACTAATTGAATCCCAGAAATTATTTTGATTTTTGTCTCAGCCATTATAGCTTTCTTGGCCTTTGGATATGTTTATTCTAAGTCTTCCTTTAAAAGTTTTCAAGTTTTACTGCTTGGCAGTTTTTAAGCTACCTGCCTCCTTGTTTAACGTTCCAGGAAAGAGTTCTGGCCATTTCTGAGACCCAAAACAACCCAAATCTCTGATGCATCAGAGCCGATAAGCAACAGGACAGAAAGCAGATGTGGCAGTACTCAGAAGCAAAGCCACGTGCCTAGGCTTAAGGCACAATTTGGAGCCTTTATGCCTTTTAATTCCAAGAGAGGAATGCTGAGTCAGCGCTGCCAGGGACTGCCTGGGCCAGGCAGGGCAGCCCCAGTTAACAGGTTTGCAGCTGGGAGTGGGTGTCCTTGAGAGCTTGAGATCTTGAGGAACTACTTATAAAAGAGGGGTCACATAGAATAGTTAGGGTTGGAAAGGACCTTAAGATCATCCAGTTCCAACCCCCCTGCCATGGGCAGGGACACCTTACGCTAAATCATATCACCCAAGGCCTCGTCCAGCCTGGTCTTGAACACTGCCAGGGATTGCAATGAAACCCATTCCAGTGCCTCACCACCCTAACAGGAAAGAACTTCTTCCTTATATCCAATCTAAACTTCCCCTGTTTAAGTTTGAACCCATTACCCCTTGTCCTGTCACTACAGTTCCTAATGAAGAGTCCCTCCCTAGCATCCCTATAGGCTCCCTTCAGATACTGGAAGGCTGCTATGAGGTCTCCACGCAGCCTTCTCTTCTCCAGGCTGAACAGCCCCAACTTCTCAGTCTAAGATTTCAGATTTCTTGAAGACAGAGAGCCAAACTGGATCCAGAGTCCCCTTCATCTGCACTAACAAGGGGCAGCCAGGCCCTGGAGAAACAACTAAAATGCATCCATGCTTTCTGGTTAGCCCGGATTGGGCTCGAGCAGTGCTGGACATACTGCTGTGACAGATGGTCTCCAGGGTTTTTCCCCTGTTTGCCCAGGGTCTGTGGCTGAGGAGAGGCACAGTGGCACCGGGATGCTCTATGAGCAGACTCCTGGGCTGCTGGGTCCTGAGGCTGGGGCACCAGGTGCTGTGTTGGACCTGAGCTGTGTCCCATGTGTCTGGGCAGGTTGGTGCAAGCCTTTCACTGTGACTGACGTACCTGGCATGAGAGAGGGTCCTTGACAGCTCTGTGTGGGGAGATCCTGGTAATGGAAAGAAAACAGGAAGGAAAGTACCATCCTCAGTGACTCGCTGGTTTCAACCCAGCATGAGCTTTTCAGTGGTGACCTGTGATCGCTTGGGTAACTTTGAGCTGTAAATGAAGGGGTATTTGCAAGAAATCTATTGATGCCCAAGATGGGTGTCCTGTAGAGAATGGTGCTTGTGAAGAGTTGCCTGTTGCTGATAAACTTCTCAGGCCTCAGCAGCATTTCAGGTGTGCATCCCTGGCTTGGATGGGCACCCAATAGACTCCTTAGGCTGTCATATGCCTGGTGTGGCATCTCTGCTGCTGCAGACATGCTGGTGTGGGAGCTGTGGGAATGGCTTGCTGTTGGTGTGGACATGGTGTCCTCTTGCATGCTTCACTCTGGGACCTGCTGTCTAAATGTCCTTTGGCCTTTTGTCAAGAGCTCTGCCCTGAGGCATTGGGACAGGAGACACAGCTGGACACTGCCAAGGGCAGCTAGGGCATTTGGTGTTATTGGTGTTCATAGTACAAGAGCAAAGTTGATGCTAACTCTATCTTCATTTAATCCAAACCCAGCCTCTCTTTTTCCTTTGTGAGGCTGCACCCACACCTGCAGGACAGAAAGTCCCACATCTCCTGAGATTGGGGCTTGTGTATGAGACAGAATAAAGCCTTTCAGCTAATCATACACTTGCTCCTACGGTGCCTTATTAAGCCCAACTAAGCAATGGTTTTCAAATGAGAACAGTTGGTTGGGTTTTTTTTTGTCAGTTCCTTCTTATTGTTTCCCACATTTTCAGGAGCTCAGATGTAACCTGCCTGTGTTGGCATGTATTGGGAGCACATGTTCCCTTGCAGGATGCCTGTCTCTCCCAGGAATCATGATTAGGCTGGAAATGCAGCCCAGTGAGGCCAGGGCCACTGTGACAGGGAACCAAGCTACTGCAGGTGACTTCTGTTCCTCTGGAAGCCCCTGATTACAACTGCTTTGGATGGAGGAGAGCCCTCCCAAAGCCCTCCCTGCCTGAAGTCAGAGCAGCCTCCAGGTCTAGAGAACTCAGGTGACCTGCCCCACACTTAGTGTTTGTGCACTGTGAATATGCCCCTGATCTCACAGGGGGTGAGGACATGTTTACTTGCGAAGGCACAGAGCCAACCACAGCTGCATTTAATCTTCCCTTACACTGCTTGTGCTGATGCATCCACCACGGCAGGGGCAGCAGGGAGGCTGGGAGAACGCTTAGGGCCAGTGGGCACCAAGTGATGGGGAGCCAGCCCATGGTGCTGCCCTGTGCTGGAAGGCTCTGGTCCTTTTACTGGAAGTCTGCAAGCCCCTCGGTTTCCTTCACATACACGTGGGTTGTTGTAATTTCACACTTACTGAAATGTCACTGCTTTGTTTAAATCACTCACTCTCAGACATTTCAGAACGTAATATGAGGATTTATCAGGCAGACTGCTGATGTTAAGAAATGACAGGACACTTGTTTCCAGTTTTTAATGCTTTCTTGTAAAACTGAAAATATAAAACCAGCCGAGCAAATGAAGATCTTTATATACATGAGGTCTGTGATTAAAAAAATCCTTCTAGTTAATAAAAAAGAGACAAATTGACCAATGAGTTAAATGAAAACTGATTAAAGGGAACAACATTCTCAAACTGAAACATACTTTGCAGGAAAAAAACAACCCTTCTTTACAAGTTTATTATATAACTTACATTTACACTTTACTGAGAGAACTTACAAAACAAGCTGCTTGAAATGCTCCTCATTCCCTTAAAGCATGAATTTCAAAGTGCCACAGCAAAGGAACAGGTTCCAATATTATCTTATACAGACTATTCATGTATAAAATGGTTTGGTAAATGTGAGGTGTTTGTTTAAATGAGCACATATAGGGATACAGACTAAATAAAAGTACTTGAACAACACCTTTGTTATTACATACTCAGTTATAAGTATAATAAAGGCAACAGGGTCAGCACTGCTCTTAGGTATCTGTATAGATGGAAGGAATGTGATTCAAGCAGTGATCAAAGGCGCCATTCTGGAAGAATCCACTTTCATCAGTTCCATTGGAGACCATGTCTTCAGATACACACTGTGCTTCAGAGATTGCATCATAGCCTGAAAGCAGGACAAGTTGTATGGACATGACTTAGTGCCATAGTACATATAAGGAAGGAAGCGCAGTTTGAGGCCTGGGATTATACAGTACAGCCCAGTGTTAATAAAAAGACAATAGGGTTTACCATCAAAGCCTTACCCAGGAGATACACAAACTAATCTCCATGGACATTTGTGTCATAGGAGATGAAGCTCCCATTCATTTCTGTGGAAAGCTACCCATTTGCAAGTGAAGTGCAAGTATCAGAGTATGACTCTCTTGGGACTTTACAGTCATTATCTGAATAGGATGTCAAAACAATGAGTGGGCAAGGATCCTAGTAAGTGTGCACTAGAAGTGATGCAGTCCTCTTGCTTTGTGTGTTTCCTTCTAATGGCACTTAGGAAAAAATGTTCCATGTCTCTCCCAGCTGCTCTTAAGACTCAGAAAAAATCTGGATCCTGCATTATTGGATCCCCCTATACTGCAGAAATCAGGTGTGTGAGGTCAGGCTCACGGGATGTGTGGAAGGAGCTGTGCACCACATTGTCCACAGCCCACCATGATGCCAGCTCCTCACCTGGCCCAGCTCCCTGGTGCTTGCCAGGCTACCACAAAGCCACTATGGTGAGGAAAAATTTCTCTGCCCTTCTCCTTTTATAATGCAAAACTTACTTCCGCAGCTTTTTAGCCTCCCTGAGCTGTGCATCCCTGTGGAAATGAACAGCTTTGCCTGATACCAGGTGCTATGGCAGCTGGAATGCCAGGGAGTCTGAAACAAAAAGGTTATTGCCCATCCCATAGGTCATGAACATTTCCTATTATGCCCCACTGGAACCTGCTTTTTGTTCTAGTTAAGAACATGCCTGTGAACTAAGTGCCTGATGTAGAAAATGCATCTTTTGTAAATCACATTCACTTTTAGATGACTGATCCTCATGGTTACAGCACCAATACCTGGCTCCATCCTCTGCTTGACAGAGGAGCTCTGTGGAGCTGTTGGGAACTGTTATTCTGTGCCTCAGTTCCCTGCGTGGAAAATGGGGCTCTTGCTTCTTTTTAGCCTTTCTCTCATGCCTTCCACCTGCCTGACTCTGCAGGCAAGCGTGTCTGGATGTGGCTAAATCAAATGTTGCAGGGGCTTAACTGAGGCCTCTGGGCTGTGCAGCACCGCATTGCCAGCAGTAGTGACAGATCCTCGGGGCTTACACAGCCAGGCCTGGTTTCAGAAAGCCCCGTCGGCTCCGTCTTTAGAACTTAATTACAGGTATTTTACTGTTAGGTATGTTTTTATTATTTGAGACCTAATTCTCTACTTATTTACATTGCTGCATTTTCCTCTGACGTATGAATTTACTGTTAGTTTACAGGTCAGATTCTGCTGTCTGCGCAAATCTGGCATGCAGCACATGTCCAAAGTCTCTGGACAAGGAACTCAGCCTGTTTATCTGCCTTATGCTGTGCCACTCCAAATGGAGTGAGCAGTATTTTGACAGACTCTGCAAGTGTTTCTTTTATGCTGATTTCCATTTGAGGAGCCTGTATACAGGGTAGATACACAACCATGAAGAGAAGCATACACCCCAGAAATCATTATTAGATTCCAGATAGAGTAAACTATCCAAAGTCCAGAACAGAAAATAAGAATTTATTGACTGTTAATATGATTCATGGAGCAGCTGTTTGCCAGTCACATTTGGCATTCCTGGGAGATGAGATCTCATTTAATATTAATGGTGCTATAAAAGCCTGAACAAAAATTAATGCATAGCCTTGATGAATCTTGCAAACCTGAATGGTTCTATTTTACACACGAAAAGATAAGATTTATACGTTTCATATATATTTATGTTTCTGCCTTTTAAGTATTTGCATACCGCAATAACCACTCTAAACCCAAAAATACTACACAGAAACATTTCTTACTAGCTTAGCCCCAGACAGAAAAATCAACTGTTGTTGAAGTTGGTGTCTTGCCATAGTATTATTCTTTGCTCCTACAATTTCTTTTGGAAAGTTTATTTAGTCTGTTCTTTAAATATTGCAGGCTGTCAATCTACACTTGAAATTTGATGTTAACATGAAAAAACTGTGTTTTAGTAACATCAAACTTATGAATAACACAAAAGAATTCAAAGTTGAAGCTGAAACTTCATCTTAAACTTTTCCCTTGTGCTCGTTACCGATGCATACACTTTCTAGTGTGGAACACCAGACAAATGCATGCCCACTCTCTCTGAACAGACTCTCCTTTAATACAAAACAAACAGGAAAGTCAACTCTAATTTTGTGGTCTGACTCAGGCCCCATTTCAAAAAGCATTTAAACATATGTTTCCAGTATTGTCCTTAACCAAGATGCCCTCCTGAATTCAGAAATGGAAGACAAATATCTGAGAGATGTGTAAGTAAGGAGACCAGTAAATGGTGTTTCATGGTTCTGACACACTCACATTTTGTTTGATTTCAGTAAGTCTGTCAAATCTTAATTGTGGTTTTAAAAGTAGAGAACAATGCTTTACACAAATGAATACTTCAATACTGAAGCACTATAGTAATCCAGCTACCATTACTTGTTGTAAATTGTACATTATGCAAATATGTAGTTAAATGGGAAAACACAATTGCCATGAATGTGCAAAGCACAAACACAAAGGAACTGCTGAACAAAACCAAACTGGTCTTTTTAGCTGAATTTATCGAAGCAGTGCCTTCCCATTTTGTAAACATCAGGATTGCGAAACAAAGCCACCCTTTTATTCCTGCTTTGAAGGAATAAAAGCTCCTGCTGCTGCTCTTTTCTTCAGAGCTGTGTTAACTATCTATCTTCTTAACTTTGATCTGACTATAAAAGCCTCCCTGAGCCTACCTGCAGAGATGTACCATGAATAGCCCACACGATAAATGTGAGAGGTGTCTGTTTGTCAGCTCTCCTGAAGGTGTGTGCTGCCTGTGACATCCGGCAGAGCGAAAGGAGAATTTGACTGTCCATCAGTCAAATACAGCTGGACTAAAGAAAATAAATTAGCTTTTCTCCTGGGATTTTTATAGATGCAAATGAATTTCAGTGACTGAGGGTTTTATGCAAGTATATTTTTGTAATAACATTGGCTATAAAATGTGTTCTTTTCCCCTCCTCCTAAAAATATCACATGGGTAATTCTTTATAGGCAGAATAAATTACCTGTTGAAGCTAAAGGTGCATTGAGTATGTGATAGCCATTCTGTCTCAGAGGATTAAAGCAGTGGGTTTCCCCTGTAAGGACATCACTGGTGACAGACTGGTCCATTGTTCTGTAGCAGTCTCCATAGTGGAAACAGTTTTGTATTGAGTGAAAGCTGCCTTGGTAACCTGAAAACAGATATCACACACACATTTTAACACCACTGTAATCGTATTAGATCTATTTCTGTCACAGTATTTCATTACTATTGTGGGGGTTTTTAGTCCCTCAGTTTAAACTATGCAATAATGATCACGCTGTTCTATAAGGCGTAATAATATAGAAGCTAAATCAGACTCATTCCCACAAGGTGCTGTGGACTGTGATCCCCATCAAGCAAAAATCTCAGAGGTGTGCTTCATTTCAAGTAGTGGGTCAGCTGAACCCAGTCAATAGCCCACTTGTGTTCAAAGCTACGTACCTTGGGTTTTGCCAGCAGAAACTGTGACTTGTGCACAACAAAAGAAAGCAGGTAACAGTAAAGGACAAATGAGTTGCTGAGGAAGGAATTTTACAACTTGGAAGTATGTGCCAACATCCTAAAAGAAAATGTTATTTGCTCCCTTAAGGACAACCTCAAAGCATGCCACAAGATGTATACCAACCATGGCCTGATTTAATGATTTTCCTTCCTCCTGCCTCAATAACCTCTTCCTGATTCCAGGTGCATCACACGCTATTTGCACAGTCATATTATGTGTTTCCTTACCTTCTCTCAAAGTCCCCTCCGAAATGATTCTCCTTCCCTTATATGCAACTGAAGTCAACCAAGTCAGGCTTTAAGTTTAGTAGAATGTGCTATCAGGATTTTCCTCTGTTTGCCAGGAAAAATACAGAGCTGTTGACTCTCTTCCCTCAGCCTTACTCAGACTGAAATGTTTCCTAAGGAACCAGGTAGTTCAGCCAAAGAGACACAACCACATCAGCCGCTGACAGAAGCCAACACAGCCCCACTCAGCAGTGACTTGCTGGGCTGGTTGTGCAGCTATTCAGTCTGGTTTGCCTATCACCAAAGAGCCTGGGTGATGTACAGGGGGGGATGTGACCCTTACAAATCATGCAGTGTATAAGGTTTTTCCTGTTAAGAAAGATCTCCTGTCTTTTTCTGCATTTTCCCTTTAATTCCAAAGTTTGACCAAGGACATAGGTAGCATCTGTTCAGTCTGGTCATGTTTTCTAAGGTGGTAATAAATAAGGCTGAGGCAATTCTTTAGTAAAAATACAATGAACTCATCGAGTGGGGAAAGATTTGCTCTGAAGTTTCACAGTTTCATATGTGTTTTGGCAGAATCTGCATGGATTAGATGATTCATTTCTTAAGAACCTGTAATCCTCCACCACAAAATACCTGAACTGTTGATATCCATGATTGGTGAAGTACTAACGGATGACTGTGTTAGATAAAGACACTACACACACTGTACCAAAGCTGTTTGTATTTGCTGCTACATAGAAGAAGGCTGAGAAATTTGGAAAGCTGAGTATTAAATGATGCATGTCCTTCCTTGGAATAAATAGACAGCCACCTCTATTTACTGCCTGGAGAGTCTGGCTCAATCAACCAAAGCGCTCTTATGAGAGGTAGCAAAGCCATCTTTTGGTGTGGTTTAGGTACAGGGCTTTATTGATTGGCTTTTGATAATTATCCTGACTTTTCTGTTTACAAAATATGAACTCCCTGCTATAAACCTTCTAAAAATACCTCCTTCTGAGATGAACAGTGAGAAAAAATGAGACACTTGGCTTCAGACGAGGTGTAACTGGTTGCAGAGAGCACTTATACGCACTGCTAGTGAAAAAAGTGAACCTCTTCCAGAAAGTCTGCTATACACATCACTTCTAGGGAAGGCATGACGTGTATTTTCTCTGTCTCTGTAATTGCTGCCCTTTTGTCACGCTCCCAGGCTTGCCTTTGTTAGCTCTATTAAACATCTTTATGATCTACAGGGCTGGCACAGTGACTTAGCAAATCAGAGAACAGCCAAGCCTGACAGAACCGGATTGAAACTAGTTGGATCCAGGGTTTTCTCAAGACCGATGAGTAAAGATTTCTTTTGAAGTGTTTTCAGTTTCACTGTCTAGCTGCTCAGGAAAACATACCTGAGGCAGAGAACTGCCTCAGAATCAGAAGTCTGGAAAGAACTAAAATGCTCCATAAGCGTTCAAATTCTCTGTTGGACTGCAGCATCTGTCCCTCAGCATCACTGTGTGATAATCTGAGAAGGCAGCATAAAAAAGAGTTACTGGAACTATCCAGTGAAGAGACACAATGTAGGAAAATACTAGTGTTACTTCACTGTTGTAATGACCAGGAGCAAATTTCTGCTAAGTGCTTCCTGGAGGAAATACAGAGAAATGCAGCATTCCAATTCTAATGTGATTGAAGATGTGATAAATGCAGGTAGCAAACTAAAGAAAGACGTCAGCGTGAGGAAGGGAAAGGTTGCAGTGCTGGTCACTGGTCAGGTAAAACAAACCATGGCACTAAAAATGGGACTTTTAATCCTTCTGACCTCAGCAGTATAACGAAAGCTTCCTTTTCCATGAGCTTCAGAGAAATGATGAGACAGTGGGACCCTATTAGAAAGGGGCAGAGGCTGGGTAGGAAGAATTGTTCTTGTTGTATTAAAACCTGTGTTTCAAAATGTAGCCAGCTGAATGTTAATCCTGGAAGGTGGAAATAAGTCTTGGAGTGACTGAAACTGCATGCCTCCATGTTGAAGGACTGCAGGCTCAGGGAGCTGCTATGTCAGTTAGACTGTTTTCATGACTTCTTACATACTTTCTATATTCCAACCACTGCTTCAGGGGAACAATCAGAGAGTTTCTTTTGGTACCAGGTAGGTTGGCTCTTCTTGATGGACTTCAGTAGCACGGCATGGCTCAAGAGGCCAGTCGGGCTGTTCAGAGGAGCTGAGCCTCACACATCTTTCACACTATTAAAAAGGGAAAACTGCCAGCTAGTTTAAGCACTAAGTGTTCCCAAACCCCAAAGTAGTTAGACAAGAGATGGAAAGGCCATGTGAGTTAAAGCAACCACAAGGACTTTTGTAACAACAGCCGCTCTTGCCAGATAAGGTTTCATTCATTTTACACAACCACAGGAAATGAAACTTGTTGCTCGCAGGCACTACAATGTTTGATTTGCATATGTAGTACAAGGCAGAGCCTTACTGCACTTATAACACCTCTAAAATGTGCAGTATGAAACAAGGGTGCTTTTGGTTCATGCCATTTAGTTGTGGTTCCTTTGGATTTCTTCAAGTGGCTTACACAGAAAGTATTAGGAATTATGATTAATATCCCATAACTAACGGTTCAATTAACAACCACATATGGATCAGAGTAAACTAAACATGGAGCAGTTTTTACTAGTTCTTGAAAAAGGCTTCCTTCAGTGGTTAAGATGAAGTAAGCAAGAAGGCTTGTCTGGTGCAAAGAGCCTGGTCCTTCTCGGAGCGCAGAAGTGTAATACACATTTGGCAACCAGTGTTTCGCCAATATTTTTTTTTCCACATGGATTTCAGGTTTTCCTTCAGTTTTGATTTCAATCAAAAGTTTTCTGAGGTTCATTTTCAAGTGAAGAATTTACTAAATGTCCTGTCAGTTTAAGGGATCGCTATGAAATGGTTTATGGACAGTAGATGTAGAAATATAGCAGTTAATAAAGGAATAAACCGAGTTCCAAACATAACATTTAGTTAAAAATTTGCTTTGAAATAATTTGTGACAGAAAAGCTGCCGTGAACCACTTCACACGGTGCACTGGCTGCCTCTGTTTCTCTAAGGCACAGCCTAGAAAACTTCAAGCAGCTTTCAAATGAATGATGTAATGAGCAAATAATTGAAATATGCCTATTAAATGCCATCGTGTTTTGTCATGTCATTTACATGTATGTGCAAATAAATCTCAGCTTTTCAAATTCCATAAAACTTCTGACAAGAAGTCATGTCAGATATAAATAACTACAGGATTCCATTGCCTGCCAAATTCTTTCAGCGTGTAATAATTTCCATGTGATCTTACTACAACGAGGTTTAAACATTTAAGTAAGGTCAGCTTATTCTTTCATTATCAATATATCTGCTACCAGCTCGACGAAGCTCGCTGTCTTCTAAACATTTCACATCCAGTGTTTCTATGCTTCTAGATAGATGCAGAGTTCCACACAAAGATGTATATAATGTTCCAACAGTTCAAAACTCACAAATTACTAGATTCCATTAGAATAGCAAAAATTCCATTAGATGCAAAAAAAAGACATAGAGCCAGTACAGCTAAGTACAGGTTACACATGAACTCATTTCAAAGGCTGTTAATCAAAATTGATTTTTGATTGACCATTTCCATAATGAATTTATAATAATACTTCAACATTTGGTCAAAGTGGAAAATTATGGCTTTTTCAAAACCGCACAACATAACACTTAGAAAGCAACAATTCATTCAAAAGGAAATGTGGTTTTCTTAAGGAATAAAGTCAATTTATTTAAGTGGTTCAAAACTTGTTCTGTCTATGCATTTGTTTCTGCCATAGTAATGAGCTGCTAAACTTTCCTCTTGTGGTTTGTAGTTATTTAGCTCATTATAGTAACATAATCATATATCATTATACGCTATCATAAATCTGCCACTTTTCCCTTAGAGTTAATCTTTTTAAATTGAATAATCTGTTGAGCATCAGGTTGAGTTAGTTTTTCCTTCAGCACAAATCGTTTCCTATAATACGCTTTAACTTTTCAGACTAAGTACAATCCAACCAAAGAGCAAAAATGAGCCTCGGAGAAGGAAAGTCTGAGGGAACTGCTGGGATACTGAACCCCGCTACAGCTATGAATTGCTCACTGGGTTTGTGCTCAGGCCCTGGGTTTCAGACCTACCCTTAGCATCTATTGAGAGAAACCAAACCACCTGTTGTGCCCACTGGTAAATAGATCACATGTGATACTTTGCCAGCCAAAAATTACCTTATATAAGTGACAGTACAGCTGTGAAACAAGTTCCCAAAAAACTGCTTGTCTGCCTGCATAAACTTACATGCTTGGTTATTCTTGCAACCAGACATGTCCTGCATGCTTCTTTCTTGTGGCTATTTACCACACTTAAGCAGCTTTCCATCTGGATTATAGAACAGAGTTCTCAAATATGCAAGCTCCTGTCACTGGAAGTATCTTTGATAATAATATCTCTTGCTAATTTATACTTCAGAAACTGCAGAACCATTACTTAGTTCCCACAGCCCAACTCTGCAATAGGTAAACAAGCTCCCGATGAAAAAGGCTGAGCAATCCAGATTGAAAAATGGTTTAAATTAAGCAGTGGGACAGCTGCTTAGTGCTTAGCTGCTGTCATTCCTGTCCTCAAGTCACACTGGTACTTTGTAGCTGTACACAGTGCCTTGGCATATTGATGTATAAAATAACACAGGTGCTCAACTTCCCAATAACAAATAGCAAACTATTTCTCTAAATTCATGTTTAGTGCATCACTGTCAGTGGCCTGAGAGGACACTGCCAAGGTCTCCTTCAGCCCGTATATTTTGGGACTAGATGGCTCTGGCTCTGGCAGAGTCCCTCTCGCCAAGCTGATGGAAGGCTGGATGACGATCCTCATCTCCTCATCTCATCTGGATGATCAGATGAGGTGCACGGCTAGTAGCAACCTACTGAAAAACCCAAGTGCAAGAGATCTGCAGTGGGGAAACTTCCCCTGTTGGGGTACCATATCATAGCATGAGCTGGTCTAAACGCTTTGCTCTGTGCGTATCAAGCCACTTTAAAAACTGGAGTTCCCACTGAAATGCTGTCAGTGTCTTAATAGTTGTATACAGGTATAGAAAACATATATTTCGGCCAATATATAAGTATTGGCCAAAAATGCAAAAACTGCAATAAATTCTTTCTCCCCACCTAGAAATTAGGAAAAGAAAGAAAAGAGGGAAGAGTTACCTTGAGATCCCTGCTGTACAGACTGGTTTTGAAATTGCGTGTATGGTTTATTTGGTATTCCAGAAAATTGCTGCCCGTTTGGTGACTGGCTGTGTGATGACGGAGAACCATGTTTCTGCAATAGGGAAGGTGGAACTAATGCTTTCAGGGGGCTGACAAGTGGAGAGATTATGTTGGGAGCAAGCCTAGAAAAAGAAAAGACGGAAAAACTTCACATATCACATCACAATATGGGAAAATGAAATACTTGAAAGGTGCTATTTCCATAATACAGGACTATAGAAACATCTATTTTGCAGGCAGAAATTACGTTGAAAAAGAAAGATAACAGATGTAGTGCTGCTTTCAGGTTTTCATTAGGAGGAAACAGAAAAGGATTTGTATTCCTTTCCACTGAGCTCCTGTACTAGCCATAATGACAGGATCAAAATGACACCACTTCTCAGCAAGCAACTTCAACACAGCTCAGCTTTCAGTTAAAATTCTGTGAGCTGAGATGCATGTCCAGGAAACAAAAGTGGAAAATAAAGTGAGTAAATGCAAGTAAATTGTTTTAGTGTCTTCGTAGTTGTAACAGGGTAAAGCTTTACCCCCAAGTTGCAGCCACGACAAAGAAAAGCATTAGCTTCAGTTATTCCTCATGTAGGATTGTTTTTAGACTTAGAAATACAGCTTTAACTGCAACAGTTGGTACCGTCCTTTAAAGAAAAGTCTGAGTAAGTGTTTGCTTGTGGCAGCACTGCTCAGCGTAAGCCTGAGAAGTGGCTATACCTGAGAGGTGGAAAATCCCCACCAGACATCTGGGACTGGGGCCAGCTCAGGAGCCCTGGGGCAGTCCTCACCGAAGACTGAGTCCTTGCGCGGTCCTCACCAAGGACTGACTTCCTCACTGAGGAAGATCCTCACCAACCCGCTCCAGTGAAGTCCCTGGCATCTGCCACCAGTGGAGCAGAGAACCTTCAGTGCTTCCTGCCTGCCACGACATGACCATCCCACCAAGGAGTGCTACAGCAGCTGGCCCAGACGGGACAGGCCCTTTGCCAGAGAGCTGACTTTTGGCCAGTTACAGCCAAAGAGGTGGCATGGTGCAGAAGATGGGACCAAAGATGGGACGGCACTTATGTACAAGCCTCTTTTTGAGCTGTATTACACTAACTCTGTAAATCGGTAAATAGGTAGAAGCTGGACCTTTTACCTTCCTGCCGTAGCTGTGACAAGTGGCCTTTCCCTGCAAAGCCCATCGTTACACTGTCAGATGTGTGGGTTGTATGGACACTACATTCACCGTATACGCTCTGCTGCCTCTGGAGCTTTTGCTAAACATAAGCAGCAGATCTTTGGGCAGCGCTAGAACATCCAGACACAAGAAAAAACACCTGTGTGTTTGAGAGCCACCCTGCTGAAAGGAACCTTCACAGGTACAGGTCCTGAGGCGCAGGGATAAAAATACCCCTGCATGTTTTAACACGTGTCACTGGAAGGAAATAATACATGGGCTGGAAAGAAATACTGAGCAAAAAGCACTGCAAGTGCACTAAAAATGAACTAAAACCCAGATCAGATCTCTCACAGGTGTCTTCCTCCACCACTGCACAAGGCATTCCAACACCATAAACCACCATTTGCAATAGCAATTCCTCACCGGTTTGCGCAACTGCTTCTCGGAGTTTAAACTTGGGGAGTGAGGCTGTGCTTGACTTAGGGCTAAGCACTCCATGGGAGCATTCAAGAGGTAAATATAGATGAACTGTGAATTAATGGTGACAACAGCTTAATCAAATTTAACAGGAGAGGCAGAGGAACACTGCCAAAAGCTGTCACACTGACACTCTATTAAAAGGGGCTTAAATAAATCAACCAGTCAAAGCCCGTCCTATGCTGAAATAATTCCATCTCCCAAAACAGGAAAAGAAGGCATATAATAGAAACCACAGAGACTCTGAATATCCCCAAACCAAACTGAAGAATTCAGCCAGTATTTTTAAATGGCTGAAGGCAAGGATAGTTTCAAGCCAAATACCTAAGAACTGCAAAATAATCCCAACAACAGAGCTGGGATGGCCCTTGCCCTGTAAAGGCTGCAGAGTTGCTAAGCGTGGACAAGGGAACGCAGGGGCCACCTGTGCCCTCTTCAGGTCAGAGACAGAAAATGCTCTCTGGAGCCTGGGCCGGATCTGAAGAGCAGATGCTCGGGGGGAAAATACCGAGTTTATGTGCTGAGTAGCAGCTAAACGCTAAGGTCAGCTCCCGTGTGGCTCTAGTTTTTCCTCAGAGGTCTCAGTAGAGCAATAGTTTAACACAAACGAGCTGTCGCGCAGCCCAGCTACAAGCTGAATCTGCTGCAAATGCTCTCAGATGCGTGTCTGTGGTGAACTCTTGCATGAAGATGGGGCTGAGATTATTTGCTGGGACCTACAGAAGAGCCTTTGCTCTCTCTGGGCTCTTTCGAAGCTGCAAGTGGGTGCCAGCAAAACGCAACCACAGATTACAGCATGGTTACCAGCCCCTTCAAGCGGCACCCATGGAGACACTGTCCTCCACACGCCAGAAATACTTTAGGAGCCTGGAAATGCTTCTATCTGAAAGGAGATGAAAAAGATTGCAGTTGTTTTCATTGGAAAGATAATAGCTCAAAGAGATCACGATAGTGACATTTATATGGATAATGACCACACATGCATTTAAAAGAGAAACAAAAGAGGTACTAAAAACTCCAAGGCCTGGAGAGCCAGAAACCACTCTGAATGAGAGAGGAAAATACTTCTGGTGAGCAAATACTCTGCAACTGCCTGGGTTGGGTTTCCTCTGCCTTCTCTTGAAATGTCTTGTCCCGGCTACTGCTGGGAAATGAGCACCCCATCAGAGGCCTGCCAGGCGGCTCGCTGCCCAGTGCTTTGTTTGCAAGGATGCTCGAGGAAGCCCATTTTTATATCCTATCCAAACATCTGACATGCCAAACAAAAATGGTACATTTGAGGTGTCTGGCTGTGGAAATACTGAAAATCCCAGCTTCCCTACCCAGTTTAACCGCTCCCAGAGGCAGTTGAAATCTTACCCATGTGAGAATTTAACAGGTTTTAGTGTTATTTTCAAAGCAGCGCTTCTCCCCATTCACTCTGTTTTGCATCCCTGTTTTTCCTGTGTGCGAGCTCAAAGTTGTGATAGTGTCTGTGCCTCAAAGCCTTTTGAATGGCAGGTTAAGAGCATGTGAGGTTCCCCATGCGAGGCAAGAGGGGTGAGCTGAGCGGCCGCGCAGAGCTGCTAGCTCGGCACTGCTGTCACTCGCTGGAGCTCAGCAAACATTGCTGTCTGCGGGCAGCCAGTATCCTAGGAGCTGCCTGTAGCACAAGAACTTGAGCTGAAACCCTGAAAGCGCTGTGTAACACTTGACATCGCTGGAAGAGTTTCATGCAGTTGAGCAGGTCACCGTAAAATCTACCCCATTCTGCTCAGTCTCTCCCGAAGAGGGAATTTAACTTGTTTCCCAGAAGTTAAGGCAGAGTTTCTAGCCAGGAAAGAGCTTTGCTCAGGAGAAATTAGCACGAGTGGCTAGATTTGTCATCACAATGCCCACAGCTCAAGCTGGTCCCTAAAATACGATGTATGAAGTGTATGCATGTGTGAATGTGCACTGGCACGCTCTGAGGGAGTTTTTCATCAGCTAACTGTCCAGTTCCCAGTGCCATGTTTTTAATTCCCTCTGAATATCTGCCTACTAATTAGGTTGCTGTGATACTCAGGTTGTTAAAAGAGAGGAGGAATCATTCCTGATGCACAATAAAGAGATAATGCATTAGTAAGAGAAAAGAGTTTAAAAGGAGATGCCTTCTGTGAAGAAGAAACTCTGAAGTACTTAAACCAGGAACTCAGCTGGATACATTAAAAATTCCCAAGCAGTAGCTCAGGCAGATACGTTTCACTAACTAATAGGCTGGATATTTCCTGTTAATACTGTACTACAACCACAGTTTGCTTTGGTTTGGATATTAATAATAAATATATAGCATATATTTTACTTTAATTGTAACTGGTATAATTCACTCAATTTGCAGGTCCTTTGGGGGCCTTTTAATATATATCTGTGCCTATATATAGCTACAGAGAGAGATTTACAAATGAATACTCTCACACACATGTAAAAAACCTCCTTATCCTTCCTTAATTCATCAGATTCAGGGTTAAATGGAGTATTTCTGTTCAGGAGCATAAATCTTTTTGCTATGTCCCTAACTTTGTGACTAAACTAAAAGGAATCAACAGTTCTTACAGACTACTGGCACTGCTGACGTAGCTGGACTGGTGAAACCCTGTCTTACAAGGATGCTTCGTGATAAAACACTGAGTAACTCAAACAACAAACTAACCCACTGCAAGGCTTTTACTACTCTAGTATCAGAAACCATATGTCCCTTATGTGAAAGGTAAGCTGTTAACCGTGCATTCACCTTGTTCCTCTCCATTAGCTGCTACAGGCACTAATGAAGTTACTAACAAACCCTTACTGAATCCAGCAGATTTCCAGTTGCCTACTGATGGAACTGCCATTGCTCACGAATTTGCTGTCTGTAACATTTGATGCAAGTAGAAAAGCTTTTCCACCTGAAGACCCATTTTGGTGACTTTATGACAGTGGGTACTTCTCAATCCCTGTCATCCAGAGAGGTGGTCACCAAAGAGCCTGTGTTCCTTACATGTGTTGGCTGGGCTTGAATGTACAGTATCTTTGGGAACAGCAGTCGTGTAGGAATAAGGCACAGCTTTCTTGAGCAATAGTAACAGAAAGGGAACTGCACAGTTGGATGCAGTTCTTATTAAGGACTGTTTATCACAGAGTGGTAAAACCAGTTCAGTTTTGATGCATTAAAGTTATCACGGGAGTTAAAACCAGTTCAAGACATACTGGAATAGGAAGACAGGGTTTTCTTTTAAAGTAGAACTGCCCAACTAGGAGCATGCCACTGACAGAAGAGTATTTAAACTGCAGTTTTTCAGATTGCAGGGGTGCTATGGAGGAGCCAGCCTCCTCTCCACTGTGTCCAAGAAACGGGAGCAACAGGGCATGCACCACAGAGAGAAGCAGGTCGGCTTGAAACAAAAGGAACATTTAGCTCACACAGCATGCCCCGGTCTGTGGCATTCATAGCCACAGGAAGGCATGGAATCAAACAAAATACCTAGTTTTTAA